CAATAGTTAAACACCAACTATAGTGGGGATCACCAACCTTTTTGAGGCAGAGAGTACTTCAGGGCTACAGAGGAACACAAAAGACTACTTGTTTGATATAAACAAATTTACTTGGCTCACCTTAAATTGTACTATTAATAATAAAATAAAGTATTAATACATACATGTATATACTGTATGTCTGCCTGATTACATTTTAATGTTTAAAAACTCCTCACAAAAAAGATCAATAATAATAATGGACAATGGTTGATATGATAAATTGTTAATAATAAGAGATAACAACTCAGATCTATGTGAATAGTTGTTTGTCTCTGTCCCTGTGATGGACTGGAGACCTGTCCAGGTGTTCCCTGTGATGGACTGGAGACCTGTCCAGGTGGTCCCTGCTTTCACCCAAAGGCTGCTGAGACAGGCTCCTGCTCCCACCCTGACTCTGATTAGGAAGGACAGAATGTATGAAGGATTTTTTACAGCATGAAACTGATACTTAAACATAAAACAGTATTTGGTTTTTGCTAATCTGAATCAGTAACAGTTGAAATTCAGTGTATGTTGTAAATATATTTGACAGTTTTGTAGAAATGAACACATTTGTAAGTTTCAAAATACAATGTTTTTTAAATTAAATACCAACTAATATTTTTTTAAAGAAACTAAAATCTTCAAATCACATCCTCTTTGTACTAATCATCTTTGTAAAACCTCAGATGAACTCCAGTCCTTGTAAAATATCAGTAATGTAATTAAAAAAAAACTTTTCACCAATCACTGAAAATAATGTGTTTTGCTGCTCTGGGTGGTTAAGTTATAATATCTGTGCCCTAAAGGGTTAATGTGCAGGGGAGGGAGGAGCTACTCATGCCAGTGAAGTCTGAGCGCCGCTGCAGCCGGCTGGGAAAGAGATAGACGACGGAGCGGAGGAGTGTTTTTTCTGTGTCCAGCGAGTTGCAGCTGCCCCTTTTTAAACATATTAATGAACTCTTAAGAGTTTTTAGATGACTATGACTTATTTTTTTACACGCTGAGGGTCATTACAATAGCCTTTTTTTTTTTTTTTTTTTTACTAATTAAGCACATGCTCCGCACATCGACGTCAGCTCTGAGTAAACAAACAAAGCTTAGCCTGGCGGGGAGACATGTAAAGCCTGGCGGCCCGCGAGGGTTAATGCGCTGCGGGAAACCCTGCGGCCAATATAGTTTTTTGCCACTTTGTTTTTATTCACCATGTGTTTGTCTGCACCTCTGATCATTTCACACCCCCCCCCACCTCAAATTCTTTTCACCGTTACAACATAGAGTTTACAGAGAATAGATCCTAACGTTTTTACTCTTCCATTTCCCCAACAACAAAGATAAATAAATAAAGAATAAATACAACAAAAAAAACTCACTCCTTCTTCAGTGTTTTCATGTTCCACAGTTGTAAAAATCCATTAGAAAATCCTACAGCCAGCTGGTTGGTTCTGGAGATGTACTGCAGAGCGGTGACGCCGACTCCGCCGGGCCCGTGAAGCTGGAGGCAAAGATGTCTGCCCTGTCTGGTCCTAACCTCCCGAAGTCTGGGGATGTCTACAGGTGTTTTAGTCACCACCTGCAGATCTAAGGAAAAAAAATAAGGCAAATGTTAACAGACGTATTTCAAAATAAAAGAACGGCTCAGCTACGTGTTGCACCTTCTAGATTTTCTTTTTTGTCCCTGCGGAAAATTACTTAAAAACAATCAACTCTGACAAAGAAATAACTCGCACTCATAACTGTGAGTGACAAACTATGGCAGACCTTACACTAACTTCTATCTTGTGTGAACTGATTGTGAACAGACGCCTCTGAATGACTTTAAACCTGTCAATAAAACACATACTCCACAATGTTTTTGCAATAACTCATGCTGCATACAGTTAGACATGTAGCAATGTCACACAGAATTGTCAGTGAGCATCAAGGTTTTTGCTTAGTCGTAGTTTAGTTTGCATGTGGATCTACATTACAGACATTTTCATAAAAAAGCTTTAAACTCTACAGTTGTAAATTGAGAAAGCTTACTGAATGGAAAGTGAAATGTTTTCAACAACAGTTTAGTTCCTCTTCAGCTGGATGACTGAAGCGAGCAGGATTATCTACACCATCATCATTATTTTAACATAAACACAGTTCAGAGTCATTTGAATCACTATTTTGTGGAGCTTTTTAGAACACAACTCTTAACAAGCCTAACTACTTAGATGTGATGAGAGAAACAAATCACTTAATATAAATTTGTCACTTCAGTCTGTTTCAGAGCAAAGGAAGGACAATTTTAACTTGTAAAAACTCCACCACTGTAAAACAGTGCAGCAGTAATCTACTTTCTATATATCTGTGCCAATGTAAAGTCAGCACTCAGATATTAATGCAAAGTCTGAACAAGAACAAAGAGTAACTGAAGGCTAGGGTTGGGTAATATTGGCAAAAAAGTTATTCATGATTAATTGTGGTATTTAGCTAATAACGATTAATTTGACAATTAATGCCCTGGACACCCTTATGTCCTGGTCACATGACCAATTTAGTGGGAAAGATTTGCTCTTTGAAAAAATCTGTTCTAAACTGTGTCAAATGTACAGACTTCAGGCTATACATCAAATTTTAAATTGTGTTGATAATCCAAGTAAAACCAAGATTATGATAAATAAATTACAGATTTTTTTTAAATGTTCGTAATATTTGAAGCGGAGAGGACTGAAATCTCCAGTCCATCTGCCTGGTGGTATTAATCATCAAGTGCCAAAAAATAAATTGATTAATGTTTTTCTGACGATTAATTGCACATGACATGATTATATCCAACCCTACTGCTGGCTAACAAAGGCTAGATTACAAATGTAAACCTTTTAGACATGTTGAAACAAATTGTAGCTAATTGTAAAATAAACCCAGCATGTTAGAAATAATCTGTAAAAATTAGGATTGCAAATGTATAGAAATTAAGACGCATGTATAATCTAAATCTACATTAATTTATAAGAGAAAACAAGCAAGACTTTAGTCCTCCTGAGTTCCCTTCCTAAATTTTAATTAGCTTCTTTTAGAGGACTAAAATGAAAAAGATCATTCAAATTACAACTACGTTAAATTATGAAATATTTTCCATATTTTAAGAATAAACACAAACCTTCCAGCACCTACAACAAATGTTCTGAAATCACAAAGGTGTCACCACATTTCCTTCAAAATGCCTTGTGGATAAAGTTACACAAACCGTTTGTGAGACGAGTGACAAAAAAAAATAATACGGAAGGCTTTAAAAAACACACAACCCTACAAAGTTTTACAGATGCTTCTCACCTGAAGCCTCCTGTTCACTTTGACTGCAGGACAGATCATCCAGACAGAGGTCCACAAGCAGAACGTGACCAAGATCTGTTACTACTGCAGCAACGCCAAAGAACCAGCGCAAACTCTGGTGGAGGTGCTGAGTGGAGGTGCTCGCTCCACCGTAACTCACTAGTGGTTCAATCGCTGTGATCTAGATGACAAGTGATTGAAAATAAATAAATAAACAAATAAATAAATAAAAAATAGACCCATTTTTTAGTTAGAGCTCTTGGGAGAAATTATACCTTCAATGAAAAATTATAGAGAAAAACAAAGATTTTTGTGCGACTACTTTTTACATTTTCTTTTAGTTCTTTGCACACAGAAAAACGTTAGTGTAATACAGAATAAAAATACAACATTCCACAAGCGTTTGTTGTCTGTCATCTCCAGGGAAAAAAAGAAAGAACATTTTAAATTTTAAAATTTAGCCAACTCACCCTGCCAGGTATAACCACAGCTTTGACGACCCTGGACAGTCCCAGATCATAAAGACACAACACACTGCCCTCAGATTCTTCCAAGCCAATCAACAACCCAGACCTAAAAAAACAAAAACAATTATTTATTAGTCTCTCAACATTTCTGACTGATAATAGAGCTGCACTCATTTAAGGAAAAATGATTTAATAATATCAGATATAAGACAAAATATCAAACTGAATTAATTTGAACCATCTCTCTGCTCCAAGACTTACCCATTAAAGAACTTATGTACACGGCCAATAATAACGTGAAGGACTGATGGTCTTATACTATCTCTTACAATATCTATAACAAGATCTAACAGCTGTAGATTAAAAAACGAGTGGATCACATTCTAAAACGTAAAAAATATCATCTGATATTCAAAACAAAAACAACAACAACAGAGAAGGTGAAACTGAGTTCAGACCGCTTGAGCCAGCTGAAATCTCGGGCAGCAAGGACTCTGGGTGGGTGTTCTCCTCCGCTGCTAAAGCAGTAGGCAGACAGTCGTTCTCCTGTCACCGCATGGACAACCTCCAGATGGGGTCCACAGGCCAGCCAGGCCAACTCGCTACGACCTTGTGAAGAGCACAACGAAATCAAACCAAAGTTATTTAGCTTAAAAACAAAAGGTGCAGTCATGTGTACAGATTAAAACGAAGCCGGGATATGTGGTGAAATAATCACAAATATAATCCTAAAACAAAAAACTATTTCAACTGAATCCTTTTTTACAAATGGTCTTGAAAGTGTAATAATTACTTATTCAATTTCTCGTTTTTCTAACATCAACAGGGGAGGGAGTCAGTCTGTCTGTATAAACTGTAGAATAAAAAAAACTTACCAAGAGTGAATTTGCCCTGAAGAACACAGTCCAGGCTGATCTCATCCTCCCCAAGAGCATCTAGAGTGACTCCTGAGAAGGGCAGCAGGCTGCTGGTGACTTGGGCAGCCAGGTTATGCATTTTCACTGCGGACATGAAAACACAGAAAACAGGTTTGTTAGTTAAAACAAATGTAGCTTTATAAATCTATTTTCTTACAAAACCCAAACAAATAAATCTACACTAACATACAGACACTAAAAGCTGCGACTTCAGCTCCATTTCAGAACCTGAAGGAAAGAGTTCCTTCACAAACAACAGCTGTGCCGCTGGCTGTCAGGACCCAGGCCCAGTTGTTTGTTGACAACTGGACCTGAAACTGAGCTTGCTTTCTCATCAGCACTGCGTGCTGCTGTCAGCTCATGTGAGCTCTTCTAGCAAATCCAGACTAAACTCTGCAGTTAAGAGTTATTGATTGGGTAAATACAGTACCTCTAGCTCCACCCAAATCCCCCCTTTCAGAGTGAAACCTTTTTGTTGCACAAAAGTCCTGACTAACCCCTTATTTATTTAGAAACTCACTTCAGAGTAACCAGACTACTTTTGCACTTTTTAAAGATTCTCTGAATGAACAGTTTAAGTTTTCCTCGGTTTTATTGGAACACTGCTTCTTTTAATCAAGCCCTTGGCACAATACTGCCCCCTTGTGCCCAGAGGAGGAAACACAATCGATTCAAGTGAACTCCCGCGCAACAAGCGTGCTGGCACTGAGACGAGACATGTGGGCCTACAAGTATCACAATCAAAACAGTGTCCGTCCATGACTTTAACCGGGACATGATGCAGACACAGACTAGCAAATGTGTGGATATGGCAGCACACAAGCAAAATAAAATAAACACAGATCTACAACGTTTGAGAACCAACAACTCTTCACATCACGTTGCTTCATCTCAAACGATGTAAGGCAGGCGAAAACAACAAATAAAACCATGAACGCGTGAAAAAAGATGTAGGCAGAAGTTAAGTTTTGCTAAACGTTACCTGAAACACATCAGAAAAAACAGTAGCGCAACAAACTGCATTGGCTTTTAACCGCTACGCTTACTCTCACTACTAGCCTTTTTGGCTATAACTTAGTTAGTATTGATGAAATACTAACCAAGCTAACGGCACCTTAAAAATAGCGTTATTTAAGACTAAAAACGGGTTTGTGGCTGTCTTGCGCTCTTCAAACCGCTATTAGCATTAACACAGTTAGCATGCAAGGTCACGAAGGATTAGTTTGTTCCGTTTCACCGTTACAGTAAAGCGACATAAACCAACATTAGCTAAAAAACCGGTACTTTATTCAAACGTATTGCGTTAATCGATTAGACATGTGCAACGATAAACAAACACCGGAACTCACAATTAAGTCATTAACTACTTTAAAGCTAAGTCAGGCAGCTAAGCTTCGTCGCTAACGCAGCTAAGTTTGAACCAGAAAACCCAAATCTTTTAGATTTATTATTCCCCTTTGCAGCCATTGTGGGTATTTTATCAGCACGAACACCTTATTGTAAGGGTCGTGTCATCAGCAGCAGTGCAACTGCTCGAATTTAAGACTAATCTGTATTATTTCTGGTGCTAGCTAGGACAGTAGTTGACACGTCAGGCTACAACTTGTAGCTTCTGTAAACGTGACGAAGTCCGCCAGAGTAAAATTCAAACAATATTCTTAATCTTTTTATGTTTCATCGAATAACAACCTAGTGCCGACAAGAGTTAGCTGTAAACTAGCTGCGTTGAAACGTGATGCAATGTGGTGCTGTCAACACTACCTGTCCAAGGATGAGACAGGCTTCGGAGCCACGATCGCGTTGGTTTTCCTGAAGAACCTCTCCTTCCTCTGTCATAATCCGATCCTTTTCAGATTACACTGCTTACGAAGAGCCCTCAGGAAATCTTACAGCACTCACAAGAACGAAAAAGGCTCTTTTTCTTGAGTTTAGGCTTTGACAACACGAAGCGCCATTTTCACACGGTGAGAAAATGTTCGTTCGTGCTTTTTTTTTTTTTTTCGGACTTTGACTCTGCAGATTTAGACACAATCGGGACTCACTTTCGCCCCCTGCTGGTTGGGCGAAGATCTCTTCTGCTTCTTCTTGTGGTGTTTAAAGGCGGTTGGCAATAAACTGAAGGTGGGCATTACCGCCACCTACTGGTAATGGAGTGTGGTTCAGATGATTTCCCTAATATTTACAGTATATCCTACTAAAATCATTGTATTTCTTTTTACATTCTCAAATCTATCTATTCAAAGGAAATTTAAATAAACAAATAAAAAATAATCAAACAAATAAATAATACAAAAAATACAACTATCAACTCAAATTCTGTTCAACAATTTTGTCTTTTTCAAAAATCGTATCATGATTTGAATGTTTGCTCCCTAAATTCCTTTGTAATGTGTCTATTATGTCAAACCTTTCCTTAATGTTTCTGAACTTATCATAAATTGTCTCTCGTTTGTACTTCTGACATTCTTTTATAACATGTTCTATGGTTTCATATTGTCCACAATAATCACATTTCCCTGTATTATGTTTTTGTATTGCAAAAAGTGTAAAATTGAGTCCTGTATGTCCAAATCTCAACTTTTTTATCACTCTCTTTTTTCTAGTCTTTTTTCCAGCTCTCATTTCTCCTACCATCATTTGGATCTTATAAAACCACCTTCCTTTGTTATCTGTCTCCCTTCTTGCTTCAGATTTACTTGTCTTAATTATAATGTTAATGTCACTTTGAACTGCTTTCTTTGCCATTTTAACTGCTTTTTCATTTTCTCTTACTCCTATATGTGCTGGTGCCCAGAGAAAAACAACAGTTAACCCTATCCTTTGTATTCTGAATAATGTATGACTAATTTCTAGTAAAATGTCTGGCCTGCTGTCTGAGTGATTGTTTTTTAAACTCATTAAAACTGAACTCTAGTCTGAACAGATTATAGTTTTTATAGCTTTTACTTCTTACCCACTGTATGGCTAAATAATACTGCAATCAGGGTGAAGATCTTGCTCGAATTGGGACCTTTTAATTGAGTTTTTGTTTAGACAATCTTTGGAAGAGCAGTTTGGGAAAACCTCTTTAAGTTTATAAAGTATTGGGCAAAAAGTAATCGACCTTTTAATATTTATTTACAAGCTCAAGTTCCTATCAATATAATCATAACATGAGAAGAACTGAAATACAATCAGCTGAAACAAGCTTCACATGCAGTAAAGATGGGTGTCCTTCAGGAATACCTGCTTCTTCACCTGAAATGGAGCCAGGTAAGGTGGCTGGACAGGTAAACATAAACGGTAAATGGATTGCAATTATATAATGCCTCTCTAACACCAGACTAGACTACTCAATGCACTTTACAACACAATCAGTCCTCATCTACACATCCACAGACTGCTAATGTGAATAAATCATTTCTTTTGTCTGATCAGCGCACTCATACACCAAACGACACTTTGACATGTGCATACTGCCAGAAATGAAGTCTCTGATTCTCTTGCTGGAGGATGACTATATCCTTCTTGATATATTTCCAAGGGATCTGTTTCAGAAATTACGTTGTATTCCCAGATTGTAAATCAAGGATGGTTTTAGACCCAAACAAGCTGGAAAATATGTCTGAGGAGGAGGAGAAATGGGAGATTTCTGCACTCTGTTGCCACCATGACTCCCAAGAATTTATTAAGCAATTATCAATGCAAAAGCACTTGATTGGGTCAATTCAGATGTCTTAAAAGGTTTCTGGAGTTGTTTGCTTTTGTGACCCAGGAAGGAAACAATTCCACATAATCTGAATATTAAAAGACACTGAAAACGTAGG